CGACGTCGTGGCGATATTGCTTGTGCACGTGCTCGCCCGCCCCGTAGACGTTGCTGCTCGGGAGTTTGATGGAGAGCTGCAAAAACTGCTGGGCGTAGAGCAACGGGCCGATGGTGGTATCGAACCTGCCGAAGGGGCAGCGTGTGGCGACAGCAATTTTGTGTCAAAGGTTGGATCCGTTAGCGTGGCTAAATCCCATCCAAATAACCCCCAAATTTTGTTTCAGGAAGAATTGCCGTCATGTGCCGCCACTAATTTTGTCATATGCACCTTGTAATTTGCATAGTGAGGTAAAAATAGTGGGTGTTTTTAATTACAGTTTATTAATTGTGAAGGTTTTTTCATTTAAAATTATAAAATGCAACTTTTCTTCCGTCCCAAATAAGGAAAATTTAAGCAATCTTCTAGATTTTTAAGCGAGTCCTGTTGAATTAAATTATTCTCCCCTCCACGTGACAACTAAATCGGTCCCAAGCACCCTCTCCATGCTCGTTAACGGTAAATCGGTCTTCAGAGAGGCTTTTACAGAGGAAAATGATGCTAATAACAGGGAAAAAAAGTAAATTCTAATTAATCACAGCTCAGGGATCTACACGAGCCCGGTGCCTGCCCAGTGGTCGGCTAAGGAATCGGTTCTCAGCTGTTCAGCAACTCCCCGCTCCTCCCCCCTCTCAGAGGGTCTCGGGCAGGGCCCAGGTTTTACTCACAGAACCTTCCCGTTGCTTGCTCGGGTCACCCTGATGCCGAAGGGATTCTGCTGGACGTCAACGCGGTATTTTAAGTCGGAGGCTGCGGGGCCGCTGAAGGTTTTCACGTGCTCGTGGGGGACTTCATATCGGGGTGTTTTCGGATCGGTGAGCTACGCAGGGTTAAAGAAGGAAAGTTTGCAGGACAAAATGAGTTTGAAGAGGAAAATAAGCAATTTAGAAATTAGTGCCTCGTTTCAGCACTTCCCAGCACAACCATCCCAAACCGACTTGGCAAAACAACCCCAGAAACCACCCGTTGTCAAGAGAACGTCAAAAGTGGTCAAAATCACTAAATGGCAAAACTCAGACTGTGCAAACCTCCTCAGCCTCTTTTTTCGGGTGGATAAAGGGCATTCCCTACCACTGCGTGATCTGCGGGTCACTTTCCCGTGGGAAATCTGCCGGAGGCAGCCTTCTCCATGACCACGTTGGCGGACATCGCCCAGCCCCTCCGCAGTGGTTCATCTTCAGCCCTTCTGCATGTCCTACCGGGGTTGGGGGTGCCACACGCAGCCCCACCTCAGGCTTCTGGCAGGGAAACGTGGCAAACACCCTCCAGCCCCACAAGAGTTAAAAAAAAAAAAAGGGAAAAAC